AAGAATAAAACAAATTTTACAAGATATGATCATACACATAGAACGTAAAGAAGAATCAATAGAAGAAAAATATAAAAAAAATATGGAAGATATTATAATGAAAGATAAACAATTAGAATGTTATGAAAAGCAAGAAGAAAGAAGATTGAAAAATGTAGAACAGAGTATATTTCTTACAATATTATGTAAGAGTCTATTAACAGAACTCATGAATATTGACAGCGGGGAAGTTGAAAAGTAAACTAAGGATAAGTCTGATATGCGAAGCTGAGCCTCGCCCGGGCTCTGGGGAAAGAATATCTGTCCCTTTTTATCTTTTTTATTAATCTTTTTACAAGTTAAATAATTTGTACCTTTTGGAACTTTGAACATATCAAAGTATTTAAAAGTAACATTATCCGATCCTCTATATCAATATAATTATATATATATCTATAAGTGTCGTTAAAAATATTGTATATAGTACATGTTAAATATTGTCTTTCGTTATATTGCAATCCATCTGAAATCGAAAATAGATCAGCTAAACATTGGTACTTGTCAGTATTAATCGTTAAATGATTTTTGTATATTTCCTTATGATATTTATCGAGTTTCATATTTATAGAATATTTTCGTATGTCAATATTCGATAATGATTTCTTCTTTACACACACTGCACAATAAAAAGAAATTGGTGTATTAGAGGGTATTTTTATACCTCCGCTGTCACCATCAAATGTTTGCAAAGATGGATTAAATAGATTATCCACTAACACGTAGAAAGTGTCACTATCGTTACGTACTGCAATATCATGTACATTTCTCCTGTTATTAAAAAAATCTTCCGATGTGGCGATGAGATCTACTTCCTTACTATGAGCAGATCTTACATAACTGATAAATAATAATAGTTGTATAATCTTTTCCAACATTTTTTTTATTTAGTAATATTATTTATTGCTATAGATACTGCTACTACTATTACTACTTTCAATATCACGATCTTTATAGATCATATTAAATATGAAATTTAATTTACGTCCCCATTCTAAACATGTATATATTTATAACCCAAATACACCAACCCATCCGTCCTTTTCTATCCTATGATGATAAATCAATTTTTGATACGAAATGCAAAAACTCGCTGCTCAGAAAAATAAACGGTAATAATTTTGTAACCAAGTTTAATAACCTTAATGATATATTATCCATTTTAACTATATTTATGTTTCGTTCGTATGTGAACGGGTGTGATCCGCCAGACATTTTCTCTTTTAGAGTCTGCCAATCGTCGTTGTTCATCTTTAATGAATACTGGATTTGTCGTTGAATCTTATCACTTTCAATTTTTATATACGAGAGATGTGGCGATTGTGATTTCTTGTGATAATCCAGTATGTCAATCAGTGTATTCATAATTACCATGAAAGTATGATTCGAAATTTCATCTGCAATTTCTTTCAGCTTACGTATTTGGTCTGAGCTGTATATGAATAATAGTTCGTTTTTCATTATCCAAGATGGATCGGTATAAAGTCTGCTAAAATAAAGGTACAACGCCTTTCGTCTCTTAAAATAGAGTCCCCGAACATACAGGAAGTTGTTTTATCAGGAAAAAAATAAGGTAATAACAATAAGACTTTGGCTTCTTTTGAAAGATTTAAAAAATATAAATTTTATCAGGAA